CCCCAAAACCCCAAAACCCCAAAACCCCTAGATAGCAGCATTGATATTTAATATGAAATCATATTTAATTAATAGTCTGCTAATATTTCCATATCCAGACTCTGCTATTTTTCTATTCCCAAATATTTACAATGTTCTTAAGCTACAATGATAATAAATCAGATTCAGCTGCTTTTTCTTAATGGTCTGATTTATTAAGCTCATTAGAAATGTATTTATTAGCGTTTTCAAATCTGACTTTACTGATTGGATGTCTCTCCTTCAAACTAAAACATTTGGTATTGTATTTATAAGGCATTTAATCATATATCTCATAGTCTCGTTATTCTTTTAAAATTCTCCTTTCCTGTTTTTCTTCATATTCCTTGTTTTAATATTTTAATCTAAGGGCTTTTATTTTCTCTTGTAAATTTTTAATCAAACTATGAACTTTATCTGCCTGGCTAAAAGTATTCACAGGGGATTGTTTAGACATATCTTCAATTTGTTTCAAGTAGTTTTGCTTAAGTTATAGCAATTATTTGCATTTCAAGACATCATCTTAGATTTTATTTTCCTTACTCACTGCTAAAAGCACTTTCTTGTAAATATCTGAGTTGAAATCTTTGAACTAGCCATTTTCTTTCATAATTTTCAGAGCGAAGAGATCTGCTTCAAACTCTTGATTGAGACTGTACCTTGTGTTTGAATAATAGTCCATAAATAGAGCATCAAAGCCAATGTATTCACTCTAAAAAAGAAAAAACTGCTTTCTAATGTCTCCATAGTTGCAAGTTTCTCTCAGATTTTAACGAATATGCTTCTTTGCTATATGTGAAATCTCATGTAGAAGAATAAATGTTAATCCAGAAAGCCCTCCTACATTCAAAATTTCATTGAGTAATTACTAAAAAACTAATTACTATGTGAAAATTTTTTTAAAAAAAACTATTTTGATAAAGAGTGACTTACCTCACTAATAAATAATGAGCCATTAGGCAATATGTAAAGTTCTCTATAGTTAGAATGTGTTGAGACATCTGAATAGTATACAATGATCTCACTTAGTTTGACTGAATGAGGTAAAAATCCCATTTAATGGCAATAATCTAGGAGATAAGAGTACAGTTCACTGACGAGAACATAGTCGATGTTATTAGATGAGAGCTATATTTTGCTAGTGAGCATCTAAGACAGAAGCCCAGATAGTCTTCGAGCTGCAAAACGCTCTTCTTAGTCGCTTAAAACTTCTAATTAAAGTAGCTTACTCGGCATCAGATTCTAAATTTGAGTCTTAAAACGATAATAAATCAGTAATGAAAATGAGAGGAAAATCAGAGGGTATACTTCCCACCTCATCAGTTTTTGAAACTTCACATATTACTCACTTATATATTTATGCTTGTCAATTACTCCCTCTTCAGGTTTAGGATCTTTTGATGAAAAGCAACGTGACTAAGTTATGATAGGTATTCGCTTTAAATTTTTCACGAAAGCGAAATACTTTTATTAACCATTAATATGTAATAGCATCTTAATTATAATTAATTAAAAATTGAGTAGTTGTACTTTACCAGATTCATTATTTGAGAATGGAAGAGGGGCCTTCAGAAAAAAATGGAAATAATACTATAATAATAAGCAACTCTGATAAATAGACAACGAGACAAATTGATATTAATCAAGATCAATCTCTATTCAATTGGATGAGAGAAAGTGTATCAAAGAAATATGAAAGGCTGAGTTAGTTTAAAGAATTCTCAAGTATTTATGGAGTCCTGCAGCATGAATAAATGTTATTTGTCTAGAGATTCAAAAAAGAGCTGATAGAAAGTAAGAATGAAATAACAGCAATATTTTCAGCTGGAAAGAAACAATTCATTGAGTAGCGCAAAGATATTTTGCCCTTTTATAAAAAGCAATCAAATGAGGTCATCACATACTTGTCTGACGATGTTTTTCCGGATATCAAGGTATCATTACAAAATATTATAATTAATTGTCTAATCTGAAAAATATAGAAAAAAATGATTAATAATAATAGACTGATTCTATTAATGATGGAGCATAAGTATATCACAACTTTGCTAATTTTATTAGCCTCTAGACGACTCTATGTAGTTTCAAAATTTTTATGACATCGAATAATATCTTCAATATCCCAATATAATTTTGGGGAGACTTAATTAGAATTCTTATACTTGAATGAGATAATATGAGAATTAATCTAACTAAATTACGAATCTGTAAAAATAATAATTCCTGATACTTTTCATTAGTCACTACACCTTTAAACATATTTATTTCATCAGTGATTTACTTATTAATCTTCATCTGTCATCTGTGGGGTTTTGGGGTTTTGGGGTTTTGGGG